CTGACTCCATAGAAGCGCTTCCATAAATGGCGCAATGCGGGGCCCCAGAATCTTGTAGCCGCCCGATGAAAAGCAATTCAGACGAGCTAACCCGTAAGAGGTCAGGTTCCCCTAGGAGTAGCAGGTAAACTTTGCTTCTTCTAAATCTGAACGACCGGCATGCCTTTTCGCATTCACAGTATCTCCACTTCTAGAGTCCTAGCCTGCCCCATGCGACTAGCAGCAACTGCAGGTCCCGGTCTTCTGAGTAGTACCTTATGCTGCACTGCAAGATAAACATCGTCTGGGCACCTGGCACCTTTCTAAAGAGCAGTGTACAGAATCAGCACAATTTCTCAGTAGTAAGGAAGAGGGTATTTCTGCATCGCAGTATGTTTGTCCAAGGCACTTATAAAAGTGACCTAGAACCCTGGGTTTACGTACCGAGCGAAGAAAATCGTGTTCTTCCCAATTAGTTGTATCACGTTCCTCGAAGGTTTGTCCAGTTTCGCTCTCGAGTTTCTGCCTGGCAAGGTCATCGACGGCGGCCTCTCTTACGGATCTGAAGCCTAGGGATCGGGTTGTAAGTCCAGTGCGTCTCACCCTGAACCCCCACAAGACTCTTTGGTCGTGGTGCGGCATATCCAGAAGTTTGTTGAATGTGTCTATCAAGAGCGGTTCGACGTCTTCGACAAGAGTATCGAAGTGGATGCAGTCGATCGAATCTACCAGGGCTATATGTCTGCGGAAACGGGCCGCGAGCTGATGGGCGTCCGGGAGAGATCCCGGTGCCTTCCCTTGACGTTTTGTGGTGGACCGAGAGCACAGGACAATACTTAACGACTTCAAGCGGATGTCTCGACAAGTCGCATGCAGTGCGCCGGGTATTTTATAGAAATCTTCAATGTCTCTAGTCCTGATTACAACTTCCTTCACTTCCTCCCTCGCATAGCCTTCCAAGCCTCTCCAGAAACCGAGAAACCGTCGAAAGTGCGAAAAGCAAAGGTCGGTATTGCGTAGAGCCAAGACTAAGCATTCGGAGCGAATCTGTCGAGATGTAAGGATGAGGGCTAATCGGTGCCTCCATTTTGCGGGCTTGTCGGCCAAGACTAGGTTGTATATCTGAAGTCGCAGTTCCACAGGAAGATGGAGCAGTGTTGTCCGCGGTGCAAAGATTCGGACAGCTCGAGCGAACAGGCGCCCATGGAGTTCGGACCGGCCCATCGTGGGAGAATGACAGAAGAGAAGTTATCCTCGACGCGAAAATGATTGAGGCAGGAGGGGAACTTGTCGTGATATAATTGGTTGAGGAAGTATCAATCGCGTCCTTGCGTAGAATTTGTTTTCTGGTGTAACGGGCGCGATATCGCGAGCCCACAAAAATCAGGCACCCAAATTCTTGCGTCCTAACCGGAAGATAAATAGAGACGAGGAGCGTTCGTAAGCCTTCCAACCACCCCGTCATGCATCAGACCTTCCGAACCGTGGGTCTTCACGACAGCCTGCACGCGAGGGCGTTTGGCGTCCTCAAATCGCCAAGCGTCATTCTTGGCGCTGGTGCCTCCCCACTCCTTAGACTTCCTACCGAGATACGACTCCGCATATACGAGTTTGTCTTCACACCATGCAAGGAGGGTGACCCGCTTGGACTTCTTCGCGCCTGCAAAAGAATCTACTACGAAGCTTATTCAATCGCTCTGCCAACGTTGCAGATTCGCTTCCAGCGACTGCACCAATTCGTCGAATGGTGGCTAAATCTCGAGCCAGGGTTGAAGCCCAAGGTCAAGCATCTCAAATTGGCAGCGCGATTTCCAGCCGGGCTTCATGAGATCCCGGCGGGATTGATGCGGCACTGTACCAACTTAAGGCTACAAGTTTTGACGCTCGTCTTCGAAGAAGAGACAGTCGCCTGGAACTGGATCGAAGCGAGAACCACAGGGATTTGGAACATTATTAAGACCATGAACCATATAGGGATCACTGACGTCGTCCATGTCATGAACAAAAGGGCAGCCAACACTCCACATCTTTTGGCCATCTTTGCAACGCTGCGAGAGTGTGCCCAAGGTTCAGACACTCAACCTCCTGAAGAATGCCAGTTTGTATACGGATTTATGGAGGAGGATTCATCGAATGTCGTCAATCCGGGATACAGAATGGTGAGAAGAGCGCAACTGGGAAAGGTCCTAGATACACGGGGTATGGAAGCCAAAGACCCCGAAACATATTTCCTGGAAGAGTCGCAACGGGTATTTGAGAGATATCCTGAACCACCCGTACGACACATACAAGGAGGGGGAGGGCTCGTAATGTTCAATGCCGACATAGACTCTGTCCACCACTTCCACTGAGGGGCCGATCCCCAAGCCGTCCATACTCATGATAGAGATCCATAGCTATCCGGTAGCAATCTTGCTACACCGAATGATTCTCATTTATCATTCTCATCGTCCGTGGTTATCGATGCCCTTGTTTTAAGTGTAGGATGAGTCAATTCTAACCTCCACGTCCGAACATCCAGTCCACATCTTATGACGTTATAATCCCAATCGCCGAGTTGCTTTTTCACCAAGCGAAGAGTGGCACCTCCCGCCGTCTCGTCTGCAGTAATGCCTGGTTTCTTCGGGTCGAAAAAGTATTGAAAGTAGCGCTTTCTCTCGATCGACGGGCTCGTGAAAACCATCTTCTGCACATTGTCCATGAGCGGTAGCTCTTCCGTCGCAAACCTCGCAAACTCACGGTTTCCTGGAAAGAACAGCGCAAACTTGAAGCGAAAGGGTGCCAGACAAGCTGGGTTTCGGACTGTGAAAGTCAATTGTGAGAGGTTCAGGGGACCACAGGCGAGCTCATTGAAGAATGGGCGGAGGCTTTCAGCATCGAGGAGGACGCTGTCCCAATGTACAGTCACCTTGCGGACACAACGAAGCTTCGTTACAGGGAGGGTGAGTATCTGCGGCGTCCAGAATGGAGGGTCCACGTATTCGATCACTAGGAAGAAGTTCGCTCGCGCGAAAGCTCTCGGATAGGCTTCGTCGTGTATCAAGCGGCAGGTGAGGAGAGGTTCGAGGTATTCCGCGGGTGAGTACGCCTCGTCGTCGTAGTCGTCGAAGAGAAAGTCGTAAATGACAAGTCTAATCTCAGGAGGGATATTGAGGAGATAAGGAGGGTCGATTTGAATGCGCGGTCTCCGGCGGTGTTTCCACAGATGGTATCCTGCATAGGCAACGCCTAGGACAAGGTCCATCGTTCAGCGTCGTGGTAGTGGGTGTTTAGGAACCGGACAGTTGTTGATGCAGCAAAGTGGGGGTGCTAACTCGTAGGGGTCTAAGCACGCACGCACCTCGGGCACGCGTCAGAGAGCGCGTCGGCCAGGGGTAAGGCAACGGCTTTCTCACCGGACATAAGATACCGCATGATAAGGCAACCCATAGCACCAGAGTGGACTCGAAATCTCATCTTGCAGCCCTTCTCCCAAGGATCCATGGGCATGGGTTAGCGCATGCTGACCGCCCTCTTTCCGACTTCAGGACCAGGTGGGTCGTTCTTGACATCTGTGAACATTGGCAATCGCACTGTACCTCGACCAGTATGACACCAACACCAGAAGAGCAGCGAATGGTACACATAGACGCGCAGAACGCAAGGTCTTTCGCGGGAAATGTCCTAGTAAGAAACGGTGTCCCTCGAGACAACGCCGTCATCATCGCTACATGCCTCGTCGAAGCGGACCTCCGAGGTGTCGATACCCACGGCATCAACCGCCTACCAAGCTACATGGCACGCATCCGACAAGGCGTACTAAACCCTCGAGCCTCTCCTACCCTCCGGCAAGTCACGCCAGCAGTAGCTCAAGTTGATGGACATAATGGGTTTGGCTTTCTGGCTGCGAACAAGGGAATGGCAGCTGCGATAGACATGGCCCAAGAAATAGGCATTGGCATGGTATCCGTCAAGCACTCGAATCATTTCGGCATGTCTGCATGGGTCGTCCAGCAGGCTATCGACGCGGGTATGATGAGTTTGGTATTTACCAACTCGTCGCCGGCTCTGCCTGTATGGGGTGGGAAGTCCAAGTTGATGGGGGTTTCGCCCATTGCCTGTGGAGCACCAGCAGGCAAGAACAGACCTTTCATCGTGGATATGGCACCAAGCGTGGCAGCTCGCGGTAAAATTTACAAGGCTTTGCGGCGAGGAGAGAAGATACCCAAGGACTGGGCGCTTGATCGGGACGGGAAGCAGACGGACGACCCAGCAAAAGCGCTCGAGGGCGTCATGCTTCCTATGGGAGGTCCAAAGGGAAGTGCACTCTCCATTATGATGGATGTCTTCTCTGGAGTGTTGTCAGGCAGTGCATTTGCAGGCCACGTCACGAATCCGTATGATCCTTCTAAACCGGCAGACGTCGGCCACTTCCTTGTCGCTATCAAACCGGACCTTTTCTTGAGCATCGATGAGTTCAAGGAGCGAATGGACTATCTATATGACCGGGTAAGAGGCTCTGATCGCATGGAAGGCATTGATCGCATCTACTTCCCGGGTGAGATTGAGCAGCTCATGAAGGAGCAGCGCCTACGAGATGGAATTCCTCTGGTGGAGGCAGAGCTTGAGGCGCTGAATAAGGAGGCACAATGCGTAGGAGCAACGAGCATTACCACGATCACCTCGCCACAGAAGGCTCGCCTTTAATACATCGTCTACGCTGTCTGTGATTAATGAACGCAACGCCTGATCCTTACTGAACATGTTATTGCCTACATCATGCCGGAGACCTTCGCAGGCACATGTTACATGAAAGTAAGCTGAATAATCTGCTCATGATTAGATGGCTATAGGTGTTGTTGATCTGTATTACTTGGCTGTCCGAGCGATGGAAATGGGACAGCAGAGGAGACCACGTTCCTCTTCCCAAGAAGATCATCGAATTCTGACCTTGTCGTTGCTCGCCTGATCTGGCGTAAAAAGAAATTCCCAAAAGAACAGCCCATCCACTCCTCCAGGGTCGCAGGCAACAGCAAAAGAAGGGGCTGAACCGGGATTTGAACCCGGGGCCTCTCGCAAGCAGGCAAGTACTAGACCCAAAGCGAGAATCATACCACTAGACCATTCAGCCGATGATTGAAGAATGTATATTTTGGATGATATACAAAATATGACTGCATAATCTTGGGGGCTTGTACATTATCGACTACGGTACCTTTTGTACAGTCTAGATGCCTCGAAGCGAGCCCCAACACCGGACATGCGGGTCTAACTAGGCTTAGCTCGCGCCTTTGCCGTCCAACTCTACCGATTATCATGATCTACAACACCTCGGCTTACGCCGCCGTCTATAAGTGGTCTTAAAAGCGAGTTCATTTAATTATCATTCAGTATCCAATAATCGCGACTTCCCGAGGTCAGTTGCCTGTTCTCCTGGGGGTCCTCGAATAGGCCTTATCCAAAAGGCTTTCTTAGGCTTTACTATACCTAAAACTAAGGTCTATATAATATAACGTGTTCCACTACCAAGTTGCCTATACTACCAAGTTGCCTATACTACCAAGTTACCTATACTACCAAGTTACCTACTTTTACTATAGCTATACTATATAATATAGTATATTTATAATATAAGTATAATAATAAACTATACTATATAACGTGGAGCACCATTACCTAGGATACCCTATTACCTAGGACACTTTTTCTTAGCACTACCAACTTTCCTATTAACGCGAAATATCTTAACAATAATATTAATTATTAATTAAATAAGAAGGCAGAATTAAACTTGCCCTTATTACCTATTATTCTAAGTAAATTCTATTTCTCTAACGCGCTGCTATAGTATTTAGTATACTATTAAATATACTCTCTTATTAAAACTATAGAGACGCGTTTTTATCTAATAGACGCAATAGCTATTATAAGATTATTCTAACTAAAAAATAGATAATTATCTAATATATCCTTAATCTTAATTTATAAGGTTTTTCCCCTTTACTAGGTAAGATAGCAGATATAGTAGATAAACTATTAGCTACGCGCGGTAGAGAGCCTATAGGTAAGAACTAGCTAGAGAGACTTGTAGCATGTACACCTTTGCTTAAAATAATGCTTAACTAAGCCAAGGACCGCTAGAGGTAAAAATAAGAAGATTCTAAAGTAGTTAGCGTGTAGTTTTAGCTAGTTAGAGTAATAATAGTAAAATATAGCGTAGTAGATAAGGATATATATAACTTTAATAAAACTAGCTTTTAGATAGAAGTTATTAGCTCTATAAAAGTTGTTACAGGCTTAGAAAGATATACTTAGCCTATAATTATTTAGCTAGGTAATTATAAGTAGGTTACTAATATCTAGAGTATTTATACTATAGGATATATAATTCTACCCTTTATAATTTATAAAGGATATATATATATCTTAGCCTAGTATAAAGAAGTTAGAATAC